GTGTGTGTGTGTGTGTGTGTGTGTGTGTGTGTAATAGATAGATTAGGTACTATATTGCAACCTTCTTAGCATTTGCTACGCAGTTGTGACACATAAATCAGCAGTTATCTGGGAACTTGTTGGAAATGTAGAGTTTCAGGCCTCATTTAAACCCAGGAATCAGATTCTGTATTAATAGTATATGATCCAAACACTCATTTTTTTTCTCTATTTCAAAGAAGCCCTGATGGCTCAGTGGTTAAAAATTCAGCTCCTAACTAAAAATATCCCCAGTTCAAATCTACCAGTTTATCCATGGAATTAAAGTGAGGCAATCTATTTCTATACATATTTATGTTGTTGCAATTAGCTCATTGTGAACCTATAAATAATAACCTTGAACCCTGTCCTATCCTCATCATCTCTGACATATTTGAGTCCCATTGCTGCAGTCACTCTTGAGGGGTCTTCCTCTCTTTCACTGACCTTCCAATTTTCCAAGCATGATATCCATTTCCAAGGAATAATATCTCCTAGCAACAGGTACAAAGTATAAGAGACAAAGCTTCAACATCCATGCTTCCAAAGAGCACTTTGGCTGCACTTTTTCCAAGACATATCTGTTCTTTCTTTAGGCAGTTTATGGGGCATTCAGTACTCTTCTCAACCATAACTCAAATGCATCAATTCTTCTTCTTCTAATCAAGTGGCGAGGTTTGGTCTAACATGTCACTATCTATTGCAATCAATTCAATTACAAGTCATTTTAAAACTGTAGTAGAGAGTACAACTGCTGAATAAGGTTTCTGAAGTAATGCTTTCTTAGAGTTTTGCATTTTATTCAAGTGAATGTTTACAGTTCATATAGTAAACTTGAATTCATTCATGGACATTTTGTTTTTGTTGTTGTTGTTATGTGCCATCGAGTAGCTTGTGGCTCATAGTGACCCTATGTACAAGAGATCTAAATGCTGTTCTATCCTGTACCAACCTAGCCATCTCAAACGCACTTATTCCCACCGCTCCAGTCACAGAATCGATCAATCTCGTCAAAGGTCTTCCTCTCCTTTGCCGCCCCTCCACTCTGCCAAACATGATGTCTCTCTCCAAGGACCACTCCCTCCTTGCAACATGTCCAAAATATGTCAGACAAAGCTTCAGAATCCTTAGCTCCAGGGAATATTCTGGCTTCACCCTCTCCAGGACAAACCTGTTTGTTCTCCTAGCAGTCCATGGTATATTCAACACTTGTCTCCAGCACCACAGCTCAAAGGCATCAATCCTCTTTTTATCAACCCTATTCACTTTCCAACTCTCTGATGTATAGCACATAATTGTGAAGACTGTAGTCCAGATCAGGAGCACCTTAATCTCGAGCCTGACATCGTTGCTCTTCAGTATTCTTGAAAGATCCCTCACAGCTGA